CTGTTGGGAACAAACAAGCAATGCATTTGCATTGGTGAAGCTCAAGCTGGAGGCCTTACTTATTGTGAGTAGAAATTTTAATTACTCTTAAATTACATACGTTTAACTGATTAACACGATGCTTTAATTCGTGATCAAGTAATAATGTTCAAAATTATTAACCAGACACTTATAATTAATTAAACTTTTTAGCTCATCAAGTCGATCATATCCATAAAAGGGTCTAGAGATCAATAAACTTATTATTGTGACGTACTAATATTTTGTGCTTATGAATGTGTAGCTGGAGCAGCAGATTCGAGCAGCCGGAGGCATAGTTCCAAAGCCAGCGGGTTATTAGAAGTGTCGTAGATCATCAGCAACATTGTGATTCATGCAGGCGTGGTGGTTGCTGATCAATTGGAGGTTGGAGGGTAGAATAAGTGTTTTGGTGTTTTGCTCTTTATATTAAATAAAATAGACAATATAGTACTATCTTTAATATTTTCCTTTAATTTTAAGGTTTTCTTATCAACCTTTGTAAGACAATTATTAATCTTTATGCATGCATGCTCTATTTTATTTTTGTTATATTTTGGTCTACTTATTTTTTTTTTTTTTTTACAATTGATATCTTTGTGATTTTGTTAGTAGTAAAATAGGTTATTTTGATTTATTTTTTCTGTAGCATATTTAATCTTCACTTGATTTTTTAGGTTATTAACTGAAAGTTAATTTCCAAAATATGATGAATTTATGTAACTTCTTTTACTTTCCAAATGTTTATATTTCCAAGGTAAAATTATAATTTAAATACATTTTTTTTGACAAGTAATTTAAATACATTCTTATTACTTAATTAATTCTAAGTAAATAATAATGTGTGGTTTTTATGCTCTTTTTAATTCAAAAATTTAAATATTTATTTATAAATTTTATCTATATAAATTTATTAATTTTATCTTTTAAATAAAAACAAGGAAAGTCAGAGTTACTGTCTAACACAACGTTGTTTTTATGGTATACCACTGTTGCGAAAAGTTGGGGCAAATTTCAAAATAGTATGGAAAATAAAAAAAATGTCATTATTTTATTAAGAGTAATAGTAACTTAGTCTATATTTTGCATTTTTGCCATTTGTTTTAAAGTCTTCAACTGTGCGATGTACCACTATTTTGGGTATATTCTCAGCTTGATTCTTGGAGTATACCTCTAATTTATGATCTTTTAGCGCTTACTTTTATAATCGTATCTTCAACACATAAAATAACCCTTTTAATCATTCAACGTTTTTGGGTGTTACTTTCATATAAAAAGAATTCGTTTTGAAGTGAAAATAAAAAAGATAAAATGGTCAATTCATGAAATATCATATTCTTTCCGTTATTTTGTGTTTGTTTCATTTGAATTACTTATTTGAAAGGAAATGAACTTTGACAAAAATATTTTTTCAATATTTAATACAAAATAAATAAAGCTTACTCTTTTACAAGACTTCTAGATTTCAGATTCATGTAAATTTGGGGAATTTTATTTCTGTGATTTGTTTTGGTTCTTGTTAGGGTTGGTCCATAGCTTATTATTTGGGTGTTATTACTTAACGCCCAATAAGACGTTGGGTCTTAAGTTCAATGAGATCAATTCTCTTATTTGATGATTGAGAACATATTTATTCATCCAAAGTTAAGTACTTAAGTTCCGGTTTTACTGTGATGAAAAGAGGTTGTTTATCTTAATAGATTTCCGGATAATGTGCTTTGTCACAGGAGCATGTTTTAGGAGATCTACCTATATAAGTACGAGTTTAGCCGCTTCAAGAAGCTGTTGGGGCATAGCTTTGATGTGCTAATGAATAGATATGGACACATGGCTTAAAGTGTCAAGTAAATATGTATTCAAGTATTTAATGTTGTGTGTGTAATATCTTCAAGTATCCAATATGTATTGCTTTTGGTTCAAACGTTTTACCATACCAAATGGATACGGATTCTTGGAATATGAATTGCACTAAGTGGAAGTTCAAATCTTTGTACACTTTCATTTATGCATAAGATTGTTTTTGTGATGATAATGTTTAGCAATGAGTCTATTTAATACTCTAAATGGGGGAGGATTGTAGAAAAATTTAGATTAGTGATGATATATATCATGATTTGATTTTCTTAATTACCATTGGTTAAGATGTGGATGATTAAGGGAGTTAAAAAATTAGAGATAAGACAAGAAATTGAAGTGGTGTTTTGCCGATCAGACACAATACTTTTTGCTTCAATTAATTGTGACGGTTGGTTACAATTGGTTTTGCTTATATATGTGGAAAGCTTAACGTCGCTCTTAAGTATCTAACTAACGCCCGTAAAATAATATAAAATTACATATTTACCTTTTTTAATAAAAAAATTACCCCTTAATTTACCCCCTCTTCATACTACCCACCACTACAACCACTTCATACTAACCACTGCACCACTACCACCACCACCTCCTTCTCCTCCTCCTCTTTTAATCACCAACTCCTTTCCTCCGATTTCACGATCTACACAGCCGCGATAATGACGAGTAATTAAGGACAAAGTGAAGTCGGTCGCCGGCGGAGCAAATGTTTGTTTGTTTTATTTTTTTTTTTATTTTTTGAATTCGCGGCAAACGCCTAGGTTTTTCACATGTTCTAGGCTCAAACACCTTGTTCGTGCGAACAACCATGTGGTTGTATGAAAAATCTGGGCGTTTGAGGTGAAACGCCTAGTTTTTTAGAATACCCTAGGCTGAAACGCCTAATTTTTTCGAAACATCCTAGGCGAAACGCCTAGGTTATTCAGCCTAGGGTATTAGAAAATTCTAGGCATTTCTTGGGTTTCAAATTTTTTTAAAAATAATTATCGTGACGTACCGATTCCGTACGGTTCGACGAGCCTTTGGCGAGCGTCTAAGGTTGTGTTTATGGTATTTCGTCGTTGTCCTTAAGATCTAATGAATTTGATTTTGCAAAATTAAAAAAATTGTTTGATTTTGAAACTCACGGTGGTTGGGGTGGTTGTTCGATGAGCGTTAGTGGTCATTGACCACTAAAGAGAATGGTAAAAAGTTTTGTGTACAATAAAAGTGTGAAATTGAGGTAAAATTAAAGATTTTTTGTGAAAAACTACCTATTAAATCCTAGAATTTACGAGAAACTACCTAATAAAAAAAATGTTGTAATTAAGTACCTATTAAAGTACAATATGTTGTAATTGACTATCTCTCGCCGGATTTTCAACTTTGACTACTTTTCACCGGCGTTAACTTGGTCACGTGACTCTTTTCCTCCCTTTTTTTCCACAAAACTTCCCGCCTAATCCCCAAAATCCCTAATTGAGTCATTTTAACCCCAAAAACCCCTAATTTTAGTTCGAAAATCCACTCTTTTGAGGCAAATTCTCCTTTTGTAGGCTGCAATTGAGGTAAGTTTTCTTTAATTTAGTTTTCTGTAATGGATTTCGATTAAAACCCTTTAACAATTGTTGATTTTGTTCCCAAAATATCCGACACCTGTCTTCTTTCTTTGCTCCGATTTTTTGGACCATTGTTGGGTGGCATTAATGATTTTGTGGCTATTGGAGTTGTCAGTGTTGAGAGTTGTGGTGCCGGTGGTGAGCAGTGGCGTTTGGTGGCGATAAGTGTGCTGCAATGGAGGTGCGATTATTGCGGGCTGGCGGGTGAATGGGAGTTGTGACTGTGATGCGAGCTAGCTGGAGTTGATTTCTGGTGGTGAGTAGTGGCTGCAGTTGCTGTTGTTGTCGTGTTATGGGCGAGAGAAGAAAGGTGGTTGGGGCTGTGTTTAGTGTTGTGGGTGTTGCTTGGTGTATATGGTGGAGCAGGGGTGTGAATTGGTTGATTGGTAATGGTGGTTGGTTGTTGTGGTGAGGAAATTTGGGGGAAAAAAGGAGGAAAATATTATGCTAGTGTCATGTGACCAAGTCAATGCCGGAAAAAAATAGTCGAAATTGAGAATCCGGTGGGAGGTAGTCAATTACAACATTTTGTATTTTATTAGGTAGTTAATTACAACATTTTTTTTATTAGGTAGTTTCTCGCAAATTCTGAATTATAATAGGTAGTTTTTCACAAAAAAAAATTAATTATTTTTATGATCGTTATTATAAGGATAAATATGTAATTTTATTTTATTTTGCGGGCGTTAGTTAGATATTCGAGGGCGATATTTAACAACTACATGAATGTATATGATTAAAGAAAAAAAAGGAAAAAAAAAGTGAAAGGATTTCTTCTTTTCATTCTCTTGGTTTGGCTATTATTTTTCAAGGTTCATCTCACAATTTACACAAACTTGTTTACATTGAATCATAATTATACTACACATAATTATGATTGTTTCTTCGTTGTATCTCCTAAGTGAATTTCGTGAAAACCGATGTGTAGTTTAAGGATCGAAATATTACTTTTGGGAAAATGATTCCGTTCACGCCTGGAAGGTTTATTGTTGTTGAATTCCAATTTCATCTTTGTGACCCTTGTTCAAGTAAAATCCCCAGCATAAAGTATATGATTATTACTCTACAGTTCTACATTCTTTGTTTGATCAGGTTATACGAATAAGATATAAATTAAGACGTTCAAACAAGATTTATTTTATCATAATTATTCCAGTCAAAGTTAAATTTATTTTAGGCATTATTTTATTTTAACAATAATTTATTTCTAGATGAGATTGGAATTTTAGTAGTCGAGTTGCAGAAAAAATATAGGAAAACATGGAATTTTAAATGATTAATTTAACGATATGAACTTCAAAAACAAGAAAAACAATCTAAGCCTTAATTAGAAATAGACATGAAAATCAAATAGACATGGTCGACAGAAACATAAAACAAGAAACAACAAAGAAATAAAGTTAATAATCCGGAGTACTCCCTCCGTTCCTTAATTAGATTCCTATGGAATAAATGCTAGAAGTAGGCAGGGCACTTCACTTGATAGTCGTCCTTGGTGCATCCGTACAAGTACTTTCCGTGCAACCTATTCTAAAACTTGGGCATAAACCATAGAGGTTTAAAAGTCGTAAAAATCTTATCGTTGCCTTTACTAAACCGTATGAATTCTCTAGATCCCGTATCAAACATACCTATGTCTTGAAGGCGTGGTTTTGGCTCACTCCAGAAACCCTTAATATCATCGGTAAAGTAAATAGCATTATGTTGATAATTAGGGGACTTTGATTTATGAACACTCATAGAAGAGTTATTACCAATAAAGACCATATAATCACCCAAATCTTCAACAATAGTCCAACACTTTTGGTCGCCACTACGATCAAGTTTATACACCTTAAAATCGCACGTATAATAGTGTTTCTTAACAGCTTCATCCTTTGCTCTGTATCGTATTACTAGTAATAAATCACCAGCTAACTCGACCATATAGGATTGTTCACAAGAACCCAACGTTACATTGATAAAATCAGGGTTAACAATGGAACAATAAGGCTTATTAGCATAAACAGGTGAAGAAGGGCTAAAGTTAACCATGCACTAATCTCACAACATGTAATCAATCCATTAAGATGCAAGATCAACACTAATCCATTCAAATACACCAAATCAATGACATGAGGAGGGTCCTTTTCGCCGCTTGTTATAACCTTTGTCCATCTCCAAGTTCTATCTCCAGGGCGAGATACCGCTAATGAATCATTCTTAGACATTAAGGGGTACTCATCATTACACCGTAAACTGTGATAATAGATTACCATTACAACAAAGTCATTATCATCGATTTTTAATAAATACAATGGCCTTGAGTACTGAAAATTGAATGGGTTCCCAAATACAGAATTTTCCTGGTATCTGCATAATTTCATACCTCATAGAAGAATTCCGTAACACTGGCAAAGATGCAAGGGATGGTAGTGTTAGTTGAGCTTTAGTGATGGGGTTAAATAACCAAACTTGTCTGTCGTACTCGTCCGAACCTAAACCCATCATTACAATCCATCCATACGCGGAGCCAAAATACTGCCTCATATAGGCTTGTGGGATATTCAATTCTAAACCCTTAATGCTGTTGATTTCAAAGATTTCACTACGACCCGAACAAACCGCGTTCTTCGGGTTGGGATCGGCTAGCAGTAGCCAAGGTGTGGCGGAATTATTCAGCTCTTTTTTAACCATGGTGAACACATCATTCCATGAACGACATACCGCCGAGAAATATATTATGTCATTAATGGAATCTAATTTGAGTGCAATTGCAATGAGAAGATCAGAGGGCAACGTACACCAATCAACCCTAATCATATTGCTCGAGTAGTTTTCTAAAGACACCTTTAGTTCAACTACATTTATTTCTTTCATTCAACTAGATATATATATATATATATATATATATATATATATATATATTTGCCGATTTGAAAATTGTAAGACTTCAATATTAGCTAGGATTTATAAAGACCCATATATTTGAAATTTGGAAAGAGAGTTTAGCCCTAAGAACTTCCAAGTTTCAGAGGTATATTTTTGATAAATAAAAATCATTTTTTTAGAGGAAAAATAAATTTTTTTTTGTTGAAACTTATTATTCTCTGTACTAACCATAAATTTGAGGACTAATCTTGATTCTTGAAGATTATTTTACGAATTTACGAGACAATTTGTGAGTTATATAGGATATAAATCAAATTATCAATATTGGAAAGTATATTTGTGTGATATATTTTTAATATTAAGTTATCATTATTATTATTGTACTAAAAGACACACCACTAGTGACACATGTCACTTTCTGGTGTGTCCTTAGTATTTTTTAATTTTTAATAAAAAAATAGTTTTTTTTTTGTAAAATTTAATTACTGTATATATGAGCAATGATTTTTTATTTTTAATATATTGACATTCAATTAATTAATATGGAAAATATAATCTCAAATATAGTCTTTGTAAAATATTTTTAAAAATTACAATATGATCTTATACTATAAGTTTATGTGTGGCAAATATAATAATTACTTCAAAGGATACAATTGAGACAGACAAAAGTTAATGACTAAAAAAAAGACATTGCAGTATATGATCGGATTGATAATTGATAAGTATATAGGTACATATTTTTTCGCCAAAACTCACATTCTCTCCCATTTTTAATTCTTCTTTTATGGTTTTTTAAGATTTTTTTTTTCATTCCTATAATAAATTTTAATCTTTATCTTTCTATATTAGGCTAATAACATAGATTTTCTTGTGGAAAACTGGAAATAAATAATCCCACCTTTGCGTGGTCTGACAAAAACAATCTCACCTTTTGATTATTACGAGACAATCCCACCTTATATTAGTGGTTGTTTTTTTAACAATTTTTTTTTATTATCTTCTATATTTTGTAGGAGACCTACTAGAAGAAGCTCGAAGAAGCAAGGAGTCAGGGGATTCAGAAGAGTCCTAATGAGTTGTACTGGAAGACGGTGGGTGGGCGCAATAAGAAGGGTCGTGTGAAGGGACTTGACCAAAGTGCAGAGCTCTAATATGGCAACCAGATGGGTCAAGTTTCCCATTCTTCACAGCAATACACGCCGTCTATCATTTCTCATATGCAAGATCAGATGGAACATAGGGTGCAAGCTCTCCAAACTCAAATGAAAGTCGAGATGCAAAACCGAATTGACTCCCGAATGGCTGAAATAGAGAGGAGATACAAGGAGAGTATGGATGAGATGATGAGTCGTTTCACCAACAACGACGCATGTTCCACTATTCATCCTTGATAGGCCGTCGTCGAGCCTACCAAAGATAAAGTCCTATCTTGGTCTCACTAACTAATAGTGATGTGTCTATTTTATATAGTATTTTACCCCCATCCCTTGGTCGTAATTAGTAGTGTTTTTGGATCTTTAGAGCCACTTTTATTACTAATTGGTGTTTTCTAGTGTTTTCGTAGATTTGGTTGACTTTTGCAGGGATTTATGCTTTTGGAGTATTTTCTCGAGATATTTTGGAGCAATCACGAACATTGGAGAAACACGACCAGATTTTATAGCCCAGGGCCAGTTAGAGCCATCGAACCGGTGATTAAGGGCTCGGTATAGGTGATACCGGGGCATTTGGACCGAGTATTCAAGACCGGAAGAGGAAACCCAGATTGGCCCGAAGAATTGGAGCCCAATCGTAGTCCAAATAGTGGCCCAAGTGAGCCGCCCGGCCAAAGAGGCTAGCGCCAAGTGGCGCGCCCGGCCGGGCGGGAGAAGCTATGGTTGGCGCCCGGTGAAGCGCCCGACCGAGCGCGAGATTAGTATTAGGAGGTAAAAAGGCGCACCCGATCGGGCGCGTGTATTTATTAGGGGACGATTAGCGTCGTTTTAATTTTTTTTAGTTTAGGATTTGTACGGAGTATAAATACTCCTCCGTAATACGATTTTAACTCTCTCTGCCCTCTCTTTTACTCTTCCCTTACTCTCTTAATTGTTTTCTTAGATTTTCTCTCTCTCTAAACCTTTGTTCTTAATCTACTCTTAATTCCAGATTTGTTTATAACGATTTCTCTTCTCTTAATCTTAGTTGTTTATTTTATTCCTTTCATCATGATTTGTTTTATTGCTTTTATTAGTTTAGTTTTTACTATGTGTGAGTAGTTCTATTTCTAGGGTTTATGGGGATCCATAAATAATATGAAGGGGTAATTTATTGTTGTTAATTATCAATGCTACATTAATTTCTTATTGATTGATTTAATGCTCTGTGACTAGATTTACGCAGATCTTTTATGCATGAGTTTAACAACATTGATTCGAGATTCGACAGATGAGAATTGATGTTTAGGTCTAGTTTCAATAGGCAGGTTAATTTATAAATGGTTAGATCGAGATTCGAAAGATGAGATTTAATACCGGTAAATTAATTGTGTGATTATAATATGTAGCGAAAGCCCTTTATAATCTGATTAATATATGCATTGATGAATGATCATTATATTCTACCCTGAAATATTATTTATTGGTGATTCTATGTCCTAGATCCTTTTATATATTATTTTCTCCTTATTCTTGATCACTATAGTTTAGTTTATTATTCAATTATAAATATTGGTTACTTCATAATCTAGATTATATTAGTTAATTAGGAATAGAAAGATCCGTTTCTCTGTGGATTCGACCCTACTTCCCTATCTACATTAGTTAGAGGATTTAGGAATTACTTTTGATTTGGGGATACGACTTTACCTTGTCAAATAGCGGCGTTGAATCAACCACCGAGATACTACCGTTTAAACCACTACAAAAAAAAAATCAATATAGCATCAACTAAAATTTGTTGCTACTCACCAAAAATCCGTTGCCAACTCTATTTAGCAACGGGTTGGAAACAAAATTTGTTGTTGCTAAAAGGCTTGTTGCCATGGGATTTTGGAAACCAGTTACAAAGCAATTTTGTTGCAATATTGCATCAATTTAAATATAGTTTCCATGATTGTTGCTGTTTTTGGTGCATTTGTTGCCAACTTTGGCAACAGATTACCATTGGTTGTTGCTAAAATTAGCAACAAATTATTAATGTCAGTTCCTAAAATAGCAACAAATTATTAATGTTGGTTCCTAAAAATAGCAACAAATTATTAAAGTTGGTTCATAAAAATAGCTACAAATCATTAATATTGGTTGCTATCAACACTACGAGACAAAAACCCAATCCCTACTTGCGACCTCAAAGTCAGATGGTGAATCTCTTGCCAACTATACCAAGTACTATTTGTTTACTTCTATGCATATAATTTATAATAAGTGAACAAAATATTAGAGACGAAATTGAAAAATTTGTCTCCAATTAGGGACAAAATAAAAAATCCGTCTCTAAATTAGAGACGAAATTGAAATCCGTCTCTATTTGATGTCATTTTAGCAACAAATAATTTTATACATTACAGCAAAAAGTGGCTTACATATAAATTAACAAGAATATGTAACACAACTCGTTTCCAATGGCAACAAACAAAATAATGCGTTATCAATTAGCAACAATAATTTAGAAGACTTGTTTCTAATGGAAACAATTCAAAAATTCATTGTATTTGTTTGTTTCTAAATCAATACAAATAAATTATTTGTAGTTATAGTTTGTTACTATTTGGCAACAAGAGAAAAATATGATGTCGTCTAATAACAACTAGTAAGACAATTTGTTTTAAAATGCAACAAATCAAAAATATGTAGCCATTGTTTATTAAAAACTAAAGCATAGAATGTCGCTTTTAATTAGGCAACGAAAAAATTTAGATTCGTTGCTATTGAGCAACATTTTAAAAATCTGTAGCCAAACTTAGTTGCTAAAAAGGATTTATTTTTGTAGTGAACAAGCTAAATGAAATCAAAATTGGTTTGGTTTTATGTAGCATGTACTAATTCAAAACAACTAATGCTAAGGGGTGATTAACTATAATTAGAGAATTCTAGGGCTCGGGATATGCCACTCAATTTCGTCGCAAATCACAAATAGCATGTAGCAAACAATGATAAATTAAGGGGATAATATAGGGGAAGTCATCTAAAGCACCCAACTACTCTCTCAAGCTAGAGGGATTACTTGAATCATGAATAGAACCTACTCTCGTGGTTACAAAGCATAAAACAAGTGTTAAAGCATAATCACGATGACAAAAACATTCCCTTGACTGGAAATTCCTATTCTCATGGCATTTCAATTCAATTAAGCATAAGGGAGCTAACTCAAGTTCATCTCTCGATCCTTCGTTGAGAAAGCTTAGATAATAGTTCTAGCAATGGCCATATACAAGAACTAAGCAATTAAACCACTTAAGCTCAACTAATTAACACCCAAAAATTACCAAATTAACACATGCAACAAGAAATTAGTGACTACATTGAGGGTTTTACCCAAACCCTAGAAAATTAGACTACTCACTATCCATGGAGATTAAAGCAATTAAGGGTTTCAAGTAACTCATGAACGAGAATTAACTAAAGATTAAGCTAAATAACAATCTAAGTACACAAGAATTAAGCAAGAAAGTTAACAATCAAAGTAATTAAAATGGAAGAGAAGAGTAAGAAAAAATATTACTAGAAGCTTGAACTTGAAAATCAATGGTGGAACTTGTCTTCTACAATGATTGAGAATGAAATTTCCAAGCTAATAATTATAATCTAACTAATGATTTGAGAATATTTGTGTTTTTACAATTGCAAACTAAGAGGAAGCACTAAAAACTTGGATGCCGCACAAATGAGCTCAAGGGGTTATTTATAAAGACCCCCAAATAAAAAGGACGGAGAAAACAAGAGTCGGGCACGGCTACAGGTCAGCACAGACGTGCTGAGGCTGGCACGGACGTGCAGCCATACCTGCAC